AATTTGTAAAATTTTGTGAAGATATCGACATTGTGACGGAAGTTATTAACAAAAAAAAACATTTTCCGGGAATATGTACTTTTGTATGGGAGGTATATGAAATTGTGGACCGATTCTAGTAATTTTCAGCAGGGATCAAGATCTTGTGCAGAAACGAATGTATGATGATTTCCATGGAATTATCTTGCATAGTTTGCGAGAAAATTACATCAGAATGTGTAAAAAATGCTTATTTTTTTCCGAGGTTATTTTAAATTTTGATTCATAACTTTTCCCGGTGTGAACCGATTTTGCCCATTCTCAATACCAAACAACTTAGGAAAATGAAGAACATTTTGGGTGAATTTGGTTAAACTCCATTGCTTCGTTTTATCGTGAGCGAGTTTTACACAGACAGACGGACATAGCTAAATCGACTCAGAATTTGATAAGGACCCAGAATATATATACTTTGTTGGGTCTCAGATGAATATTTCTTGGTGTTACACACGGAATGACAAAGTTAAATATACCCTCTATCACCACTGATGGTGGTGGAGGGTATAAAAAAATTGCGTCATACGATCGAAAACTTTTAAATTCTATATTGATTTCATTTGGTATATGTTTGCAGAATCCCGCAATTTAGTCCCAGGTTTTATTTAAAACAAATTTTGTTTTCAGTACAAGTATAAGATGATTTAAATTACCTAATATCTATTTTTATTAAAAATAATCTAAAAATAAATGTGAAGAAAGTTTTGAAAAACGAGTTTATAAAAAAGAATAAGATGTTAATATTAGATTTATGGTTTTTTATTAATTTTAAAAGCTATGGTGAAAAGTTTATATTAAATTCCATGTTTTAAGTCGACTTTTCCATCCAATGACAGTTCTCATTTTCTTAGAACTGTAAATATCATACAACTTTAAAATACTCTTTAAAAGTGATCAAAATGTTGTCATAAAAATAACTTCATATAACCCTAAACAGGTTTAAGTTTAAACTCATATCTACATAGAAATTATGTATTTATGCTAAAATGCATATAAAAGTGTTGAGTTGCATGGAAGACAATAAAGTTGTATGTATCTTTTATATGTTTGTTTTGGTTATTAGTGATTCCCCAAAAAAAAAACAAACTGGTTTTTATTTTTAACGTTTCTTTTTCTATATACCATTTTAATACTAAGATATACGAAGTCTGATGTGTTAAGAAAGAAAGCTTTTACAATGTAATGAAAACAAAGCTTTTTTTTACATAACACTTGCATGCATATATGAAGTATCTGATGATGATTACACTTATTTGTACTTTAAACAATTCAATCAAAAGCTTTTTTTTGGTTTTCTAGCAGTAAAAACTGGTGATACCATGATTTATTGAATGTATTTTAATTTTGTTTTTATTCTAATCTCTACCACAAAATCTATTTGTGTTAATTAATGCTTAAACTTGTAAAAGTGTTCTTAAAAGAAATTTGTACTTTCACTAGAGATACAAGGTATTATGATGGTTGTTTTGATTTTAAAGGTCACGCTATTCTTACAATATGCGTGATTTTATTTCAACGATTCCTTTTGCTAAGTTTCGTGCCAAACCAAGCCAATAAAAATAGTTGTAAAATGTATTTGGTCTAGTGTTTTATATAAATTATGGACACAATTTGCCAGTAATATGACGTAAAACATATACAACATACATTTGTCTATTATCTTAGTGAAATATCTTTTGGTAACAATTACAATTAAGACGTTAGACTACAGACTGTGGGAATTATGTATTTTTTTTAAACGACTTTAAGTTCATTTGAGTTTTCAACATCATACAATGAAAAGGCGACCGACCTATAGTCGCCACTTATTCAAATAAGCTTAATAAATATCATGTTTGTGTTTTGTCGTCTAACGTTCTGATTGTATTTGTAAATTTCTTTTGAAATATTACTTTTCTAATAGAAGGTGTCATGTGTGCGGATAAATTATTATATATTTTATTCATTTGGCAAAATTAAATGGCAAAGTTTAGGTAAACACCCTTAATTCTATTAATCCTGATGACGGAATGTTGACAAAAATGTCTGCATGAATAATTGTAGAATATCAAATGTCACGATAACTGAGACATTAATCAAATTGTCGAAAAAACTCTAAGAATTACAATTAAGCCACACTTGTTAGTTTCTTTTATTGTCGTCAACGATCTTTGTCTTCTATATCCTCTTTACCTCCTCAGTTCATTCATCTGCAGTAACAGAGAAATTGTGATTTAGAAGTATGACATTTGAAACGATACATAGCAGGGACAAAGTTGTTTTTATTTTCGATTTAATCGATTAGGACTGAACATTTGGTTGTAAAACTCAACGTCCTTCTTACCTTCACTGCACATACGACTAAAAATTTATTCAACAACCTCCTGGACCAAAGAAATAGGTACTGTTAAAAATCGAAAAATTTTAGGGGTAATCTTCGACAGCCGCTTACATTTTTCATAAACCGCAAACTACATCAATCAAAAGGTTAGAAAAAGGTCCTTAAATTAGCATTATTTCGGTCAAAGAAGATTCGGTCGTACAAAGCAATTGTTCGGTCTCTTCCCAATTAAACAGCCCCACTATGGACCCCTATCTTCAGTAACACCCAACGACGAGGTCTACAGACGGCACGAATCGAATGAAACCGAATACCTCAAAATGACGAACTTGTATCATTAACATGAGAGGATCAAGTTACTGTAGTCCAAACATCATAATGTATTGTTGACTAGACAGTTTCTGTTGTCAACCATCCAATTCTTATGCATGATCACCTTTACCGACCCATCTGAATGAACTTCCAACGCTTTTGCACGGCATACCATCGGATGTCGACCGATTGTTTATTACAAGCACTCGGAAGCCTTTAGTGGCAACAACCTTATGATGAAAAAGCTGTTTCTTTTGGATACGGATAGATCAATTATTTAAGATCAGCATGTTATACAATTTCTTTGCAGAGAAGGCGAAAGATCGTTCCATTTCCCTGTCATTGCAGCTACAACTCAATATCCTGTTATTACTGCAAGCAATCCCGATGTATCTCCTCTATGCATAGCAAGTTTTCCATTGGCTACATTTACTTGGCCAATAGATTATGTCTAGATTAAGAAACCATTTTTCAAACTCTTTAATCAATAACCAGAAGATATTAGCGGAAATGCAACTGAAATGCCGCTTGACATTGCTCATTGCCATGGCGCACAATGAGCAATGTACCACACTAAGGAGGTATCCGACAGACATTCCTGATCAGAACCACATCACTATTGGCCAGTCAATGTACGAAAATATCCCCAGGAAAAACGACCCCAAAGTCAACAAGTAAGAGTGTTATATTCGGCTATGCCGAATCTTATATACCCACCATCAAACCTCGTTTGACTCGAACGAAACGTACTTATGTCAAATTTCATCTATATACTCGTATATTTAGGCCAGTTATAAGCGTTAAAGTAATTTTCTGAAGGGGATCTTATATAGGGGGGTAGGGTCAATTATGGGTCGATCCTCATAAAATTTGACAGACAGACAGTAGACAGAATTTGGTTCGTATTAAATTTACTTGTGTCGAATTTCATCGCTACACTCGTATTTTTAAACCATTAATAAGCGTTGCAGTCATTTTCTGAAGGAGACCTTATATGGGGGGGTAGGGTCAATCATGGACCGATCCTCGTAACATTTTTTAGATAGATTTTGACTCGTATGAAACTTACTTATGTCAAATTTCATCTATATACTAGTATTTTTAAGCCAGTAATGAGCGTTAAAGTCATTTTCTGAAGGGGACCTTATATGGGGGGTAGGGTCAATTATGGACCGATCCTCATAAAATTTTGCATAGTGATTTTGGATCATAAAAAACTTACTTATGTCGAATTTTTTTCCGTATATTCGTATTTTTAAACAAGTTATGGCTGTTAAAGCTGCTTTTCGAGGGGCCACTTGTATGGGGGCTATCCGAAAACGTGGACCGATATCGCCCATTTTCAATACCAAACAAACCTTACCTATAAGAAATATTTATGTGAAATTTCAACCCTCTAGCTCTTTCCATTCGGACTCTATCGTGCTTTCAACAGACAGACAGACAGACAGACAGACAGACGGACGGACGGACAGACGGACAGACATGGCTAGATCGTCTTAGAATTTAATGAGGACCCAGAATATATATACTTTTGTGGGTCTATGATCAATATTTCGATGTGTTACAAACGGAATGAAAAAATCAATATACCCCCCATCTTTTTTGATGGTGGGTATAAAAACCAAAAATAGCCCCAATTATAGTGTAATATAGAGTTATAAAATTAAGGTCCAATTTCTAATGAAAATTAACCCCAAAATAAATGATGCCTATTTATCGGTACAGATACGCAATGAAAAAGAGTGGCTCTTAAATCTGGCTTTTGTTGCACATGGGAGTTACATTAGGGCTTACGACTGTTACAAGGTAATAATGAAGATCTTAGTATATATACTAAGATGTACAGTTTGTGACGAAATCATTGAGTTTTTATAACATATTCAGTCCGTTAAATGCAACATCATTGCCCCCACTTAAAAACATTTTTAATCTCTAAAGATTTAAATTATAAATGTCCCCAATTTTCTATACACATATACACCTTCCAATACCCACAAGACCGTATAAAATATTTCTGAATTCTCTTTTTGAAAAGCGTTCGTAAACAAATAAAAATACATAAACAAAGCAAACAAAACAACCAATTTACCGTCAACCTCAACACGCAACGCTCTTAGCGTATGTAATATTAAATACCAAAACATTAAAATCTAAATATGGGTCAATTAAAACACCAAAAAAAGCTGAATGACACATTATTAACCCCTCCCCCTCGAGCAAAAGAAAAACTTAAAAAAAGGAAATTCAAATAGTACATACGTAATTGTAATAAGTACATATGTATGTACGAAGGTAATTAATGTTAATAGTGCTTCTGTTAATGACTTACCAACAGTTCCTTGTTGGGTGTTGATGGATTACTTAGTAGGAGACCTTTCAGGAATATTGAATCAGTACTAGAATGATCTGAAAAATTTTTACCATCAACTGTATGTTTATAGCCATCTAAAATAAAAGAGTGAAAAAAGTAGTAGGTAGAGATAATTACTGCACAAAGATGAGAAGAAAAATTATTTTATTATATCGAAAGAAAAGCGAATATTCTACGTAATGAAAATGCAAAAATAAATAAAAAAAAAGTTTACTAAAAATAAGACAATGACCTATTCATTTGTATTTCTGTATACATAAAGAAACACATGTAGATATGTTAATATATCTACGTATGTATATAAAGATCATACAGACATAATGGAACACATATGGTTTTAAGATTAAGAGCGATATGTAGAGGTAAATAATGGCTAAAAATGTCCTACTTTTAGGAAATTTTGCAATAATTTTCCCTTTACGCCCGCTGCTAATACAGTTTATTTAGGTTTTTATAAGATACCTACTCTTTTACACAAAAAAATTACAACATCTCTATCGGATTAATGTACCTGCCAATAAATCTATTTATCTATCTATCTATCTATCTATCTATCTATCTATCTAATCTATCTATCTATCTATCTATCTATCTATCTAGCTATCATATCTATCTATCTATATCTATCTATCTATCTATCTATCTATCTATCTATATCTATCTATCTATCTATCTATCTATCTATCTATCTATCTATCTATCTATCTATCTATCTATCTATCTATCTATCTATCTCTATCTATCTATCTATCTATCTATCTATCTATCTATCTATATCTATCTATCTATCTATCTATCTATCTATCTATCTATCTATCTATCTATCTATCTATCTATCTATCTATCTATCTATCTATCTATCTATCTATCTATCTATCTATCTATCTATCTATCTATCTATCTATCTATCTATCTATCTATCTATCTATCTATCTATCTATCTATCTATCTATCTATCTATCTATCTATCTATCTATCTATCTATCTATCTATCTATCTATCTATCTATCTATCTATCTATCTATCTATCTATCTATCTATCTATCTATCTATCTATCTATCTATCTATCTATCTATCTATCTATCTATCTATCTATCTATCTATCTATCTATCTATCTATCTATCTATCTATCTATCTATCTATCTATCTATCTATCTATCTATCTATCTATGTATCTATCTATCTATCTATCTATCTATCTATCTATCTATCTATCTATCTATCTATCTATCTATCTATCTATCTATCTATCTATCTATCTATCTATCTATCTATCTATCTATCTATCTATCTATCTATCTATCTATCTATCTATCTATCTATCTATCTATCTATCTATCTATCTATCTATCTATCTATCTATCTATCTATCTATCTATCTATCTATCTATCTATCTATCTATCTATCTATCTATCTCTCTATCTATCTATCTATCTATCTATCTATCTATCTATCTATCTATCTATCTATCTATCTATCTATCTATCTATCTATGTATCTATCTATGTATCTATCTATCTATCTATCTATCTATCTATCTATCTATCTATCTATCTATCTATCTATCTATCTATCTATCTATCTATCTATCTATCTATCTATCTATCTATCTATCTATCTATCTATCTATCTATCTATCTATCTATCTATCTATCTATCTATCTATCTATCTATCTATCTATCTATCTATCTATCTATCTATCTATCTATCTATCTATCTATCTATCTATCTATCTATCTATCTATCTATCTATCTATCTATCTATCTATATATCACGCACAAACGTAATAATGAATCTAGTATGCTCTACATTATTCAAGAGTGTACTAAATAAAAACAAAAAAAAAAAAATACAATAAGTACACAATAAAAACAACAATTGCTGTTTGCTTTTCTGCCCCACTTACCATTATCGGTCGCCTCAACCTCATCACCAATTTTATTGATGCTCGCCAAGAGATTGACTTTATCCTGACGTTCTTTACGTGTTAAACGCACCATGGCCACTGAATTTATTGCTATTTGGAACCGTTATTGCAGCACACAACAAAGAAGAGGAATAAGTAATTGGATTTTTATCTTATTTTTCTAGTTTTTTCTTTTATTATCTTTAAATCACAGGATGAACAAAAGAGGAACGAAGTTTATAGGATGGATAAAGGGGAGAGAAGGAAAGGAATGGGAAAGAAAGGAAGCTTTAGTAGTATAAACAACGGAAAGTTGTTTTGTAATCCAATATTGGTGTCTAGTGTAGGTTACCAGGCCAAGTAGGAGAATGTATACAGAGTATATTACTTGTGTGTCCACACAAAACAATAAGTATTAGCAGGATTATATGAAGTGAAGGTACGAGTAGTTGACGATGATGACGCACCACCGATAAATTTAAAATGAAAATTTAATTTGCTGGACACATACAAAAAAAGGAAGGAAATGCGAATTTTTTTTTTCTTATTTATTTAAATATCCACTCATGCAATTGGAATTTTATAAGTATTCAGCCGTAGACACTTTTTACTATATATAGACACTTTTTTGTTATGCTTCACTGGTTAGGAACAATAAAACCTTTTTGTTTTATTACAAAACTTATTTTTTTGTTATTGGTTTTTGTAACACTTTAGAATTTATTATCAAATTTTTTCTGTGAATCTTTAAATTTCTTTTTTTATGATTTCAACAATTTGTTGTGTTTTCCGTTTTGTGTTTTACGCAACAATCTGTTGCCTTTTGATTATTTTTCTTTTACACATGCATATTTCTTTTTCATAATTAAAATATTATTTTCTATTTTCTTGTTTTTCGTCTTTTTTTATTTATTTGTATACACAACAAACGCTATTTATTATAGAAGACACACAACAACGTCGTTCATACGCCCAGGAAACTTTATACGAAATATTTTTAATGGCCAAGAAAGAATAAAGCCAACAACAAGCTTTAACTTTGCTTGCAGATGTACTACTAACAAGAAAATAGAAAAAAAAAAACACAGACAAATATATGTAGAGAAAAGAGAAGTAAAAACAGAGAGTAACTGTCAATTATGTCTGCAAAGGAAACATAGTTGTATTTTCGAACAGGAAATGCCGCAAGAAAACGTGTACATTTGTTTAAAGTTGTTAGAAAATTTGATTTAGAGCAGGTTTTTTATATTAATCTAGTCTTAACTTGCTGTTAGATTAAACTCGAAATATATTTTAGACGGATCTTTACCGATGTTTGATTTTTCTGTTATAGAGAAGCTAATGTTGCAAGTATTGCCAACTTTTTAGTCAAAAATATGAATAGCTGTTTTTTTAAACAAATCAATCTGTCACTTTTAACTTGGTTATAAATGTATGTATCTATATATATAAAAATGAATGTGTGTTTGTTTGTATGTTTATATGTTTGTATGCTTGAACGTTATAGACTACTAAACGGCTGTCTGGAATAGGTAATAGGCAACTTTTTATTTTGAAATTCCAAGTGGGCGAGGAGCCACGCCTATATTAAGAAAATATTAAATCTGTATATTTTAGATAATATAACAGTTAGAGTCCTCAAATTTTGTCGGAGCAACTTTAGTGTCAATATAATTATTTAGGACGAAAAGTAGGCGGACTATCATTAGGGGGCGTGGCACCTGCCATATAAATTAAATACAAAAATACGTTTATCTTGGAAACTATTACAGTTAGAATCTTAAAATTTTGCACGAAAAACTTTAACATCCATCTAAACTTTTTGGGTAATAAATTGGCGGACTACCCATGAGGAGAGCGGCACCTCCCATAATCAAATAGAAAAAATATTATATCTGAGAAACTATTAGAGCTAGAATCTTCAAATTTTACATGGAGAACTTTGAAATTCATGTGAACATTTAGGATGGCTTGGCACAACATATATGAAATAAATACAAAATTTCGTGCATCTTGGAAACTCTTATATTATTCAAATTTTTTATAGATAGATAGAAATTGGCGATAGATAGGAACTGGCGAACTTGCAATAATTTGCTTGACATCTTTCATATGTAACATATAATAAATCTAGTATTTATTTATACATATTCCTTTTAGGGTAGCAAAGCACACTGGGTATAGCTAGTTACTAAATAAATAAATATTTAATAAAAATAATTAATTATAATAAATAAATAATACTACAATGGAATAAAAAGTAATAAATACTAATAAATAAATAAAAAAATATTAACCCCCATTATATCAATGTCTGGTTATATTTTATCGTAAGGTTAAATTGACAGTTTTCATACAAAAATTATTTTAACCGGCAGAATATCTAAACGATAATTGGAGTTGGTGTTAACGAGGGTTAATAACAAATAAATAGCAATGAAGAAAGTCGATATAAAAGGGTTAGAAAAGTTGATTTGGCAAAAGTTTACTTTTCATAAATTGTAAAATGTCGGAAATTCGAAAAGTCGACTTTTTATTTCAATTATTATAGTACTTTACTTTGCACTATATGAAATGTAGACTTTTCGACATTCAGACTTTTTTTAATTTACTTATTTAAAATTATCAACTTTTAGAATTATAATATCGACTTTTCCACTTTTTGAAATTTATTTACAAAGTTGATGTTGATACTTCGAAAAGTAGATATTAATAAAAAAAAGTACGAAAAGTTGACAATTTCAAAATTTTGAAATGTCAAAAGATTGACGTTTCGCAAATTGACATAGGTATACATTTCATATATTGCGAAATGTCGAAAATTCGAAAAGTCGACTTTTTATTTCAATTATTATATAAAATGTAGACTTTTCGACATTCAAACTTTTTCCAATTTACTTATTTAAACTTATCAACTTTTCGAACTATAATATCGCCTTTTTTCACTTTTCGATATTTATTTAAAGTTTTCGAAAAATATCAATTGTTCGAAGATCGATTGTAGAACCCTATTTGGGTTTTATAGTTGAAACAAAAAGTCGACTTTTTATCGATTGTTTTCGAACTTTTTCGACTTTTCGATTTTTTTCGCTATATTCAAAGCGAATTTAAAAATCAGTTTTAGTATATTTTATTTATATCATAACATTAATAAAACAGATCATTTCAAATTTTCAGATCAAATTTTCTATTTTTCCGACTTTTCCGACATTTTTCAACTTTTATGTGCAATATCTATTCTTCAAATTTTATTTTATAAGATAATCGATTATTTTTATTATCACAAAACAAACCCTAAACTCGATTAATGTTCTTACTGAATAATACAACTCTGTTACACAGCTAGTCTAAAAAGGTAGTGAATGATTTGACATAAGCTGCCGACCGCAAATAAAAAAAGAAGGAAAAAAGTGTCACATTTTAGACTACTGACGAGGAAAGAAAAAATTAATTTTTAGCTGTTTTGATATAGAAAAAAAGAATAAACGTATTTATTAAAATATTTGAAAAGAATACCTGAAAACTTTAACCATGCCAGACGAAGTTCAACAAACCTTTGTACGTAGCTTTATTGACTACTTGAAGAAACAAATCGATGGCCAGGCATTTACCCCAGATGCACAAGAAAGTTGTGAAGTGGCCATTCAATGTTTGCAGGCAGCCTTTGATCTGGGTGATGAAGAGGCCGAAGAGCAAACACAAACGTCAGCAGCGGCCGGTGCTGAAGGTAAAGCCAAACAAGTATCACTTTTTGAACTTTACGAAACGCATTATATGGAAAAGAATCCGGAAATATTAAAAATGGCCGAAACCATTAAGAATGAAGGTAATCGTTTAATGAAAGATGGCAAATATAATGAAGCCTTATTGCAATATAATCGCGCCATTACCTATGATCCCAAAAACCCTATATTTTACTGTAATCGTGCCGCAGCCTATATACGTTTGGGTGATAATGAACGGGCTATAATTGATTGCAAGTCTGCTTTGGTGTATAACCCCAATTATGGTAAGGCCTATGGTCGTTTGGGTATTGCTTATTCTAATTTGGGTAAATATGAAGAAGCCCAACAGGCCTATGCTAAGGCCATTGAACTCGAACCTGAAAATCAGGATTACCACAATAATTTGGAAGTAGCACGTAATGCACGCAATCATGCCCAAACCGGCATGATACCCCAACTGACCGAAGGTCTTAATGCCATGCTTACAAATCCTGCCATACGTAATTTGTTCAGCACAGCTGACATTGACTTGGAATCCCTGCAGTCAATGTCACAAAATCCAGCTGTAATGAATGCCATTGGTCAAATGTTTGCCGGTATGCAAGGAGGTGGTGGTGGCGGTGCAGATACCACCATACCACCCATGCCCAATGATATGTTGCAATTGTTCCAGGGTTTTGCTCAGCAATTGACTAATGCCTCTGCAGGTGCTAATCAAGGCAACAATAGCGATAGCAATCAACCACCCTCAAACACTGATCAGAAACAACCTCCTTCCAATTAAGGAAAACTATAGAATTTTACATGTTGGAATAAAATGAAGTGTATGGGAATGGACTTCAGACATTTTAAGGAGAAATTAAGTTAATTTTTATATTGTATCATTGTATTCACACTAAACTATGTTTACACTTGATTTTTCAAGTACATACATACCTATATTATTTTTTCTTTTAATATAATTTGGAACATTAAAACTTATATAATAGCGAGAGTGTTTTAGTATTTACAATATTATTCAAATCTAATACCTACTGTAGAATTATATATATACTACATTTAAATGAAGAAAAACAATAAATAAGACATGGCTTATTATGTGCGTGTTCACACCACATGTTAATGCTTTAATTTAAAATCCTAATAAAAATTATAGCTTTTTTAATTTAATAATTTAGAAAATTATGTGAAAAAGCTCTAATCTTGAAGACCTCAGCAAAACAAAAAATCGAACTTTGATCTCTTAAATTTTGAGAATTCATAAATATGTTATTAAATCAGATAATATAAAAGAATTGCTCCAGAATAAAACTAGATTCATACATGCACACATATTATTTCGAATAAATTTTCAAATAATCTTAATAAAAAGTTATTATTTTTTATTAAGATTATTTGAAAATTTGAACATTTATTCGAAATAATATGTGTGTTTTATTATAAAGCAATTCTTTTATATTTTTCTAAATCGTACTTTAAAAATTTGTAAAACTATTGAAAAATGTTCATCGATCTGTACTGAATTGAAAAAAAGTAAGACCTTGATCTTATATAAATTTTAATTTAAGATTTATTTTACAAAAACAACTTTGTACAGATTAAAAAAATTCTTTGTTTAAAAACTAAACTTACCACTAGATTAGAAAATCATTGTCAAATTATTTGGCAGTTGCTCCTATTTGGCTTTTAAATATAAACGGACATCGAATGATCAATAAATGTACGACATAGTGGACAATTTTGTCTTTGGGAAGAGAAAAACATATAATCGGCACACTCCTCACAAAGGCACAAATGCTTGCAGGGCAAGAGGAGAACGCACTTTTGACGATCACGACAAATAACGCAACGTTGTGTAACGTCTAATGTCTTTTCACCATTACTTGGCGAAATACTAGGGCGGGGTAAGGGAGAACGTCTTTGGGCAGCTAAATTACGTAAGGGAGTAGTAGTAACAGTTGGATTAACTCTGCGTCTAAACAAGCGCCTGGTTAGTTGGCTTAAACAAAGGCAACATGAACTAATAAACTGTAAAAGAAATTAATAAAATGCAAATAATTACTATTTTTAGATACCTACCCTCTTTATTTTCAAACAACATCTCAATATAGCATAGCCCACTCTTCTACGATGGTGCCACAAAAGAAACAGCAATACCAAACCAATAGTTAAACGAAATATATCTTCCACTATAACCTTTACTATATACACCACAGTTATGCGTATATTGGTAACACTATCCACTATAAAATCTCCCACAGCGATTATGGCATAAAGCAACCATCTGGGCAAGAGTGTAATCAGCCACCAAGCACAATCCGCTATTAATAATAGAGCATTTCTCAGTAGATTTAAAAAATCTGCCACAAAACTACCAATTTGTGTAGCCAGTAGCTTCGAGTGTAAACGTGTATTGATAAAAAACTTTGCTATGTGCTTTATAAAAACCCCCACCGCTTCCAGCATACCATTGATGCCACCATTGGCGGAAGTTCTGATATAATTTGTTACAGCTGCTATGCTGGTATTAAGTTCACAAATAAAACGATAAAGTTCTTCTCCTATAATAGCTAAAGCAGTAAATATATCTCGTATAATATTACAGGCCTGTATTAGTAGCAGGAATATGGCTCGTCCAATGTGATAACTGGCGGTCAGTATAAATACGGCTATTGAGTGCAATAAATGCATACATTTTAAAACTGGTTGCACCAGCGCGGTCAACATTTTGCATTACTACATATAGTTGTCATAAATATATTTCTATTCGCTTTTATTAAATTTTTATTAAAATTTAAATATAAAAATGCAAAAACTCCGGCGGATTGTTTATGTTTTCGTTTTTAAATGCAGATTTTTTGAAATAGTCAGCAGAGTTGCATTTTTTAGTGTCAACAAAGAAATCATTGGCAACGCAATGTTACTGTTAAATTACAATTGCCGCGTCAAGCGATGCCGTTATTAAAGGAAAAACTGAAATGCTTCATGGATATAACATATAAAAATATGTATATGTTAATCTGGATTGTGAGAAAATATCCAAATCTGACTTTAGAATTGAAACATATACAATTTTCATAAAATAAAAGAGAAACGTAATAATTTTTTTTTTTAATTTTATGGTTGGTCGTAATTCTGTGACCAATATTTCGATGTGATACAATTGGAATAACATTGATTTTGTTATATCTTTAAGGTGTATAAAGAGTCGGCTTATATTAGGCGTTTTTCATGTGTGTTGACATCACCTCTTTTAATAAGTCAGCGTTGCCATGTAGTTACAATTTTTATTAATATTTTTGTTTAAAAACTCAAACTCAACTTTTTCTTCATCATTTAAGTGAAATAATAAATTTCTGTCGAAATTTATACAATTTATATATATATATAAATTGTATATATATTTTTTTTATTCAAATTTTATTGAATTTTACATTAATATTTAAAAGACGCAAATAAACTTAACTTTTTAAATTCAAATTTTATTGAGTTTTTAAGTGTTATTATTAAACACAAAAGTTATATATATACACCAAAATGGTTGGCATCACTAAAAATCGGCATCATAATTTTTTTTCGTATTCCATTTTCTTCTCCACTACGTTTGTTTTCACTGTTGATGACTACAGAGATACAGGTCGATGTAAAATGAGCGACGGCGCCGATTGACAATTTTATTCGTCGTCTTTTTATAAAATATATCGGCGCCGGCGAAAAAAAACGGCAAAATCTATGCGGAGATCTATTTTCTTTTTAAGAAAAATATCTAAATAGTAAGTATCTCTATATTATTATAGTTATTATTTTATTATTATAGTTATTTATATGAAAAATTGTCTAATACATAAACACAATATAATGTGGCAACGCGGTTTGAAAAACCGAAGCCGGCGACCAGCCGCCGCCTTTTTGAGCCAAGTCGGCTTGTATCTTTGGCTGCCACCACAATTGTCTAACGGGAAATACACGCGATTTAATTTTCTCTAAAAAGCCAAAAATAATTTGCCAAGTGTTAAAAAAATATTAAATAATATTGTAAATTACGTGATTATAAAGCAATAAAATAATTTTCGTTTTACATTAGTGAGAACAAACTTAATTGAAATCAAGTATAGAAAAATACACGCTAGGAAAACATTTTTCCTACGAATAGCAAACGAAAAGGAAAAGCAGAAAATTAAGAAGAAAAAACTTGTCTACGACGAGGGAAAAAAGACGCTGATCTGTACTACAATATTTGTATACAATAATAGGAAAAAATACAGACGGCTAGTGAAAAAGAATTGACAATTTAAACATGGATAATATTGAACATTTGTATAAATGTTATGAAATTTTATCAGATGCTGGTGACAAAATATCGGAAGTAAGTGGAAATATAATAAAAAAAACTATGTTTTTTTTCTAAAATTTACTTTGGTCTTTGTAGCATGTTTCTGAATACAAGGATATATTGAAAGCCGTCAAAGGTTCTTCTAAGGAAAAACGTTTAGCTTCACAATTTATTGGTAAATTTTTCAAACATTTTCCTGATTTATCAGATACCGCTATCGATGCTCAATTGGATTTGTGTGAAGATGATGATATGCAGGTGAATATTGTTTTTGTTTTTTTTTGGGGGGGGTTTTTAAATTCCTAACCTCTAATTAAATTTTGTTTTTTTTTTTCTTAGATACGCCGCCAAGCTATTAAAGACTTGCCCAAATTGTGTCAAGATACTGTAGGCATTACTGCCAAAGTTGGTGACACTTTGGCTCAGCTTTTGGTGTTGGATGATCCATTGGAATTGCAGCAAGTTAATAACTCTTTGCAGACAATTATTAAGGTAATTTAAGATTAGGTGTAATTGGGATTTATAAGTTAAGAAGGAAATGGTACAATTTTTTGTTTTTGCTTCACAGTTTCCATTTAAAAAACTGAAAATGGTTTCCTAAACGGAACAGGAATCAGAAGTTATTTACTAAGTTTTAATTTTTCCATTTTAGATGGATTGCAAGGGTTCTTTGACTGGTATTTTTACACAAATTTCAAATGGTGATGAACCGACACGTGAACGTTGTTTTAAATTTATTGCCACCAAACTATTTGCCATGGGACCAACGATCGTAACCAAGGAAATAGAAGAATTTATTATTGATGAAATTAAGAAAATTTTACAGGTATGTAAAAATCAAATTAATTTCCAAATTTTTAAAATTTAGAAAAAATTTCGAAAAAAAAATACTATATTAAAAATTTAATTACAGGACGTTACTGCTGATGAATTTCATTTGTGCATGAATATATTGGGAAGCACTAAACTCGGTACAACCATAACGGGACATGCTGAATTGGTTAATTTGGCTAAAGAACAAGCTGAACTTAATGCTGATATCGATGCTATAACCATAGAAGATGAAATTGTTGAACGTTTCATACAGTGTGCCACACACGCTATGCCATATTTTTCGGTAAGTCTGTTTGTCTTCTTTGATGTAATAAAGACATAAATTTTTCTATTTCTTACTTTTAGAATACCATCAAATCAACTGAATTTGTTGTTTATGTTTGTGATAAATTATTACCTTTGAGTACTTGGAATATGATTGCTACAACAGCCGGCCAGGATCAAGTACAATTACGTTTATTGAAAGTTTTCGCTGAAATGTGTACATTTTGTGATGTTTTAGACAATGCCACACAACGTATTGATAATATTTATCAAGTTTTGAGAGTAAGTTTCACTATTAAGCAAATAATAGAAAATATACTAAAACTAAAATTTTCTGTTAATTTTTTTCTTAGGAATATATGCCTCTACCTCAGCTTAAAGATGATGAAGACATTAGCAGTCCTCCACCTTCCTTCCAATTCTCTCATGCTGAGTGTTTATTGTATGCTGTACATACTTTGGGTAAAAAACATCCCGATAGTTTGTCATTCGTTAATGATGCCGACAAATTAAAAGATTTTCGCTCTAGATTGCAATATTTGGCACGTGGTACTCAAGGGTAAGATTTGCTTAAGAATTTTTAGTGATTTTAGTTATTTATTTAATTGTTTTATTTGTGGTTTTCAGTTATATTAAAAAATTGGAAGAAGCTGTTAAAGGCAAATCAGCCGAAGACTTAAAATCGGAAGAAAATCAATTGAAATTGACTGCTTTAAAGACAACTTCGAATATAAGCACCTTAATAAGAGACTTATTCCATTCGCCACCCAGTTTCAAACATGATATACAATTATCATGGGTTAAACGTAAAAATGTAAGTACATACTTATTTATAGCTCTAATAGAATTCTCATATGCCATTTCCTCAAAACTTGTTAGTTAAATAGATGATGTTTACAAGTGACGCTTAATAATATGTCTCAAATAATGCTGCATTTCTAGTTCAATTCTAATTCTGTTCTAGTTCAGTTCTAGTTCAGTTCTAGTTCAGTTCTAGTTCAGTTCTAGTTAAGTTCTAGTTCAGTTCTAGTTCAGTTCTAGTTCAGTTCTAGTTCAGTTCTAGTTCAGTTCTAGTTCAGTTCTAATTCAGTTCTAGTTCAGTTCTAGTTCAGTTCTAGTTCAGTTCTATTTCAGTTCTAGTTCAGTTCTAGTTCAGTTCTAGTTCAGTTCTAGTTCAGTTCTAGTTCAGTTCTAGTTCAGTTCTAGTTCAGTTCTAGTTCAGTTCTAGTTCAGTTCTAGTTCAGTTCTAGTTCAGTTCTAGTTCAGTTCTAGTTCAGTTCTAGTTCAGTTCTAGTTCAGTTCTAGTTCAGTTCTAATTCAGTTCTAGTTCAGTTCTAGTTCAGTTGTAGTTGAGTTCTAGTTTAGTTCTAGTTCAGTTCTAGTTCAGTTCTAGTTCTAGTTCAGTTCTAGTTCAGTTCTAGTTCAGTTCTAGTTCAGTTCTAGTTCAGTTCTAGTTCAGTTCTAGTTCAGTTCTAGTTCAGTTCTAGTTCAGTTCTAGTTCAGTTCTAGTTCAGTTCTAGTTCAGTTCTAGTTCAGTTCTAGTTCAGTTCTAATTCAGTTCTAGTTCAGTTCTAGTTGAGTTCTAGTTTAGTTCTAGTTCAGTTCTAGTTCAGTTCTAGTTCTAGTTCAGTTCTAGTTCAGTTCTAGTTCAGTTCTAGTTCAGTTCTAGTTCAGTTCTAGTTCAGTTCTAGTTCAGTTCTAGTTCAGTTCTAGTTCTAGTTCAGTTCTAGTTCAGTTCTAGTTCAGTTCTAGTTCAGTTCTAGTTCAGTTCTAGTTCAGTTCTAGTTCAGTTCTAGTTCAGTTCTAGTTCAGTTCTAGTTCAGTTCTAGTTCAGTTCTAGTTCAGTTCTAGTTCAGTTCTAGTTCAGTTCTAGTTCAGTTCTAGTTCAGTTCTAGTTCAGTTCTAGTTCAGTTCTAGTTCAGTTCTAGTTCAGTTCTAGTTCAGTTCTAGTTCAGTTCTAGTTCAGTTCTAGTTCAGTTCTAGTTCAGTTCTAGTTCAGTTCTAGTTCAGTTCTAGTTCAGTTCTAGTTCAGTTCTAGTTCAGTTCAGTTCTAGTTCAGTTCTAGTTCAGTTCTAGTTCAGTTCTAGTTCAGTTCTAGTTCAGTTCTAGTTCAGTTCTAGTTCAGTTCTAGTTCAGTTCTAGTTCAGTTCTAGTTCAGTTCTAGTTCAGTTCTAGTTCAGTTCTAGTTCAGTTCTAGTTCAGTTCTAGTTCAGTTCTAGTTCAGTTCTAGTTCAGTTCTAGTTTCAGTTCTAGTTCAGTTCTAGTTCAGTTCTAGTTCAGTTCTAGTTCAGTTCTAGTTCAGTTCTAGTTCAGTTCTAGTTCTAGTTCAGTTCTAGTTCAGTTCTAGTTCAGTTCTAGTTCAGTTCTAGTTCAGTTCTAGTTCAGTTCTAGTTCAGTTCTAGTTCAGTTCTAGTTCAGTTCTAGTTCAGTTCTAGTTCAGTTCTAGTTCAGTTCTAGTTCAGTTCTAGTTCAGTTCTAGTTCAGTTCTAGTTCAGTTCTAGTTCAGTTCTAGTTCAGTTCTAGTTCAGTTCTAGTTCAGTTCTAGTTCAATTCTAGTTCAGTTCTAGTTCAGTTCTAGTTCAGTTCTAGTTCAGTTCTAGTTCAGTTCTAGTTCAGTTCTAGTTCAGTTCTAGTTCAGTTCTAGTTCAGTTCTAGTTCAGTTCTAGTTCAGTTCTAGTTCAGTTCTAGTTCAGTTCTAGTTCAGTTCTAGTTCAGTTCTAGTTCAGTTCTAGTTCAGTTCTAGTTTAGTTCTAGTTCAGTTCTAGTTCAGTTCTAGTTCAGTTCTAGATCAGTTCTAGTTCAGTTCTAGTACAATTCTAGTTCAGTTCTAGTTCAATCTCATATTCTGAAGCTGCATTATAAATATTTCAAAATTCAAGCAAATTTTAAATTCATTTTCATAATATTTTAAGTTCAAAATAGAATAAAGAAAACAAATTGATCACATTTTTAAAAATTCTCATGACGTCGTTTAAACATTTTTCTTTTGTAGAATAAAATCGGATCCAAACGTCATGCCCCCATAACATTCGATGGCAAAGCGGAAAACGGTAAAGATGAAGAAAAGAAAACTAAAAATGCAACAGATCAAAAAATCTATTCGCCGCCCTCGGGTAAATATTCAGCCAAAGTACAAAACTACGGCAACAATCAAAACAATCGTCAACGTTCTCGCAACTCTGGAGGCGGTGGTGGTGGCTATAGAAATCGTCGCAACTTTAAAAAATATTAAACCTCAAGAAAGCACAATACTGATGCTTTTTTTTAATATTAGTTTAATAAAAAACACAACAACAATAACATCGTATGATATTTAAGCTGCTGATAACAAAAAAAAAAAAAAAAAAAAAAAAACGACAAATATCATAAAACTTTAAAATACTTTTCAACACTTACTAGTCTTTTTTGTTTATTCAAATAACTAAAACAACAAAAACTACTACATAAAAATTAACGTTAAGAGTTAAAACTTTTCTTCTACGACAACAAACTTCTACTACTGAGCAATTACTCGTTGGCAACTCCTGCAGATCATGTTGTTATTCCGGAGATTCTTCTTGTCATCTTTTACAATTTTCCTTGTGTATGAACCCAACAATTTTCCTAAGCACACGTGGCACTTCATCATTTCTACAAAAAAGGTAAGCTTTACTTAGCTTTTTAATAATTTGTATTTTTTCTCTCATTTCAGTTTTTTACAAAAAAAAGTTTAAACATCTTTAATAAAACTTCTTCACGTAAACTTCTTTTACAATATTTGCTTAAACTCATTTAGCTAAATTGTTAATACATATTTCTCTTATACTTTTCCTTTATTAATATTCATTTTCACGACAATTTATTTTGTTTTTCTTAATATTTGTTTCAATATATTTCTTCATTTCTTTTATGTAAGCAATTGTAAAATGCTTTTTTTTTTGATAGAAAAACAATAATAACTTAAATATGTTTACGAGCTTAACATTTAAACGAATGTTTTACAATGTAAATGATAACAGAAACAGAAAATTATTTATTTCTTCTTAGTTAAAAAAAAAACGAGTTAAAATCACTTAAATGAACAAATTACTTACGATATTTTGTTTTCGAAACTAATCCCTTTTGAATAGGAAAATTACTTTTTACAAAACGTTTTCTTTTTATGATTTTCATTTTTTTCAGTTTTCCTTTTTATTTTTTATAAAATTTTTATTTTTATTATTTTTTTTATTTTTCTTTAAATATTATTTTTTATTTTTTTTTCTCTCCAGCGTTTTGTTAAAAGTTATTTTCCTTTATATTCTCTTAACTTCTTATTAACTATTATAACGTTTAATTGTCATTCTTTTTTATATATATACGAAATATATATTTATATTTATAAAAAATTAAAAATTTAAACAAATTAATTTAATAAAATATTCATAAAAAACGTAAAAAAGGTTTTAGGCGTGTGTGTGTTTTTACATTTCATACTCATCCTACTTTTTTTCGCCCCATCCCATACACCGCCTTCAGCCAATATTTTTTTTTAAAGTCCAAAATATTTTATTTCTTTTCTTTTTCGGTATATATTCAATCATTCATATTATTAATTGTAATTTTAAAATTAATAATAATAATTATTATAAATATCTCGACTTTGTTCGTTTGAAAAAAAAATCTACGAAATATATGAGTCGCAATATACTTATATTAAAATCAATAAAAATATAAAAAAAACTAATGATCGTGTGATTTTTTTCGATCGTGTGTGTTAAAATATTATTAAAGGTAAAAAATTTTATAAACCAAACAAATGTGACTGTTATGACTGTTGCTGGAATGATTTCGGAGTAGTGATTGTTAGTGAAATAATACAAATATTAAAGAAAAAGGTTCTAAACTGTAGAATAACTGCAAGAAAACTGTCTGAAAATGTCCGGATTAATGTAGAAATAACCGCATCAAACTGCCACTGTCATACAAAAACTTTAATCTTTGACATTGCACTCCCAGATGAGTGATAACTTCATCAGCATTTAAAGAATATATCCTAACCTTGTTTAGCAAGTTTATTCTCAATATTAAGGTGTCCAGCAGTACAATGTGTCTTACAGCGTCTGGATGTTGCAGATCAAGAACATATTGACATGCTAGGATCCTAAGGTGGAAGTGCCTTGCAGTGCAGTGAGGCTTACCGCGTCTAGATGTTGGAGATCAAGAACATATTGACATGCCAGGATACTAATTTTAAAGTTGATTGCAGTGCAGTGTGACTTACAGCGTCTGGATGTTGCAGATCAAGAACATATTGACATGCTAGGATCTTAAGGTGGAAGTGCCTTGCAGTGCAGTGAGGCATTCCGCGTTGCAGATCAAGAACATATTGACATGCTAAGATCCAAAAGTTTCTGCCCTCAGTCATGAATTAACCATCTGACAAAATTAACCTGCACACAGACTTTGATAGAATGTTTAGGTAAGAATTTCATGCAGGAGCGAAATGTATAGGGACGTTTAAAAATGAACTGGTAGTGTTGGTTCCGAAGCGAAATAGTATTGAATTTAACATCAGTTCCGATCAGATCTGGTACGAACTTGGGATAGGAAAATCTCATAATTTAACTAATGACTGTTAAGCAATATGGACATCTTCTCAAATACTATGTGATCTCAACATTCATGCAAATTTTGGAATTTTTTTTCGACAAACAGATGGCGCGTCTATCAGTCAATTTCTACACAGCCAAATATCTATTGGTTAAACAATGTTAGACTGACCTTAGTGTGGTTCCATATGCACATATAGACTACCATGGCAATTAGCGAGGATCTGCTTTAATATCTCTCTCTTTAGCCCGACTTTAATTGTAATTCCTCGAGGGCTTTTTAGGAGTAGTATCTACAAATTCGTTCGAGATCGTGTCTCGACCTATCGTGACCTTTACCAAAGTAGGAATCATATCACACGAAGGACGTTTTAAAAAAAAAAACTAATTGTAGTGGAAACAGTCTCCTTAACAATAGTGAATGAAATGCATTAAGATCTACAGCGATAGCTGTAAGCCTGCTGTATGAAATCAGGTAAAGTATGGACATTCGACCGGATTCAACTCTCGAACTGAATTGCTTGACATCTCTTTATTGTTCTTGTGATAGTTTCGCTATTGTCGGAAGCTCTTGCTGAGTTGACAATCTTGGGAAGTTTAAAAAACGAATCATACCGGAGCGGAAATCTAATTGTAATGGAAACAGCCTCGTTATCAATTGATATGATATCTACAATAACATCTGTAAGACTAAAAATGGTATGGAACGTATCTTTAAATTTGCACACTTGAGTCGAGCATTTCATTAGAACTTACGGACAAAAATTTTGCAAATTTAATCAATTTTGTGACAATTTCAAGGTAGAACTCCGCTGTTTACTACTGACACAGTAATCTCAGATGCGTATCATGACAAATAAAATAGGAAGAGGATTAAATGAGGAAATTTACTATTTTGTTGATATCAAAAGAGTGACTCTAAAGTTGTACCCAAACTAGGTAAGGATCACACAGAAATTATATAGCTGAGTTATGAATATAGAGGATCCATTGCTTTGGTTTATTATTGGATTGGATATTTGGATTATTCCAAGAATGAAACTGAATATTTGCATAGAGACTTTCAGGGAATTTGGTCGAAAAAAAGGCGAATAATTTCGAACGTAATGGCGAATAATTTCGAATGAAATGACGGTGAATTTCGCAATAGTAGTCCACTAAATACCAGGTCACTAACACATCTCGCAGTAATGCCAGATTTGTGTCTTCTCTTAGGATTAGGTTTAGCAGGCTTATGCACTATAAAAAGGTGCATTTCGACTCGGAGACCATAAGGTCCATAGTGATTCCCTTCAAAGAGTAAAGATTCAAAGACATAGAAACAAAAACACTACAACAAAACAAGAAAGAAAGAAGATATGTAAAAAAGATAGAGGAATGAAACTGGTCTATTCCAAGGGATTACAACCCAGAAGATTTACCAGATCGGTACCCTAAAGAATAATAAAGATGAGAGAGAAAATCTATGTTCCCCTATAAAGAAGAAGTGACAATTCCCTTGACAAAACCTAATAGACTGCGAGGGTTAATACCCGCAATATACCCGTTTCGTAATGGAACCTAGCCATTTCAGCCTGAGATTTTGAATCCCAGAACAGTGGCAAATTAACTCATATCCTGCATAAGTCCGGTATATTACGGTTTCAATGAGCAATGTCCCGCTTGCTTCCCTATCAGAATCCTTAGACTGCGTTTAACCAGTCCCATAAGTATTTTGGTATCAAGTGTTGGCCATAGGGCCTTTGATACATTGCAATCCAATCTAACATTTCAGAACTGGTTTATGATGTCACAAAGTGTAAAAGTGACTAATAGGTGGATTTACCATCCTTTCCCTGTCCTCTATATCAAAGTTCGAAGCCAATGCTCTGAGAGCAACTTGACTATCATGATGACCCCGGATCGATATGATTACGTATCAGTTCCATAGCTTTCCAGATCGCTACGATCTCTGCTTGGAAGACACTACATTCGTCAGTGAGTCTGAAGGACCGTTTTTTGTTGATATTAGCGATTGGACCCGTCAGTGAAAACTGCACATCCACCAAACAGTCTATCGGATACAAGCCAATCATCCCTAGTTTAAAATTCTATCAGAGGCGTTCTCCCGAAGACTAGAGTCGTAATATCATAATCCTTTATTCCGTGAGAGGAATTACCCTCGCTGTGGCATAAATTGTTACAACTGACCCCGGATCGATATGATTTCGTATCAGTTCCTTAGCTTTCCATATGGCTAGGATCTACTGCTATTGTACGCAGACACTACATTCGTCAGGGAGTCTGAAGGACCGTTTTATGTTGATATTAGCTATTGGTCCCGTCAGCGAAAACTGCACACCCATCAAACTGTCTATAGGATACAAGCCAAACATCCCTAGTTGATAATTCTATCACAGCTGTTTCCCTGAAGTCTAGGGTTGTGATATCATAATCCGTAATTCCTCGAGGGAAATAACTCTGATCAAGAATTTTTGTATGATTGTCATGCGAAGGTTTGACTAACGAAGATTCTTAGAGTTTTAGTAGATTTCTAGCCGCTACACCCGCTACAAGATATTCTATAGGTGACAGGTAAAGAATGATTCGACATCATTCTTGCCGCTTGTGGAGTACTTCTAATGACACCAGTAATGCCAATAGAGGCTCACCTTTAAGTTTTATAGAGCATCTTTCTATAACTGTACTTTCTCAAGGCCTACCACCAGACAATGAGCCCATAAGTTAGAATAGGCCTAACAATCGATGTGTAAATCCAATTTATCATATCTGATTGCAGAACCCAATTATT